GTGTGTGTGTGTGTGTGTGTGTGTGTGTGTGTATACACACACAAAAAAAGGTAGTTTTCCAGCAGAAACTATTTCAACAGAACTTCTTTTTTTTTTTAATTTTGCACAACCCTAGTAGTTCATTCACATCTGAAGCTGACATCAAAACAACAGAAACTGTTGCTACTTCACACATGTCACTTTAGAGCTAGTGTTTGAATGTTTCTCTAGTGTAATATCTAAAGCTATGATAAAACAGGTGACTTTGCTGACATTTTAAGATTATAAGACTGAACAGCATGAAATGCCATAAGTTCACATAGATTTCACAGTATTTCTCTGTTGCTATCTGGATATTGCAATAATTAACCCCAAAAAAGCCAAAGCAAAGCAAACACTACCAGACTATGGTATAAACGCATCACTACAACAAATAAAAGAGAGTTTTAGAATGATTTGTTCAGCTGTAGTTTAAATTGAGTTTTTCTCCTTTATGGGCTTATTAAGTGGTCTCTGTTGCCATCTTGTGGCAGAACATCAACTGTCTTTGCTCTGCTCAGTATGACAGGTTGATGAATGCTGAAGCGTTGCATCTCCAAAATTTTAAATATTTAAAATGGGCACTCTCCTTATAAATGATAGTTGCACTCTAAATAGCTACATTCTCGACTAAAAATCCTCAAAAGTACATTATGTTGTCCAACAGCTGCAATATTTGCCAAACTGTAGTGAGTTTAGAGATTTAGAGATAGATGGATGGATGGATAGATCGATCCTTTTTGTGGATAATAGCTCATTTTGCACACACAGGCTTGAAATAAATAACCATCTTACTGACCCCAACGTTTTGAATGATCATTTTAGGTTTCATAAGGTCTAAAAAGAGTCTCCTCTCATCATTGATCCGTGATTCACACGGACAGACAAATCAAATCAAGTCATATTTATGTCTGTAGAACTTTTTACTTTAGTTTGTGTCAAAGCAGCTGAATAACAGAGAATAAAAATCCATAACATTTTAGATTGTGAACATATTCAGCATATTAAACAGACAGAGAAGAA